TTTTGTTTATGCCTGTTTCAATTGTCATACGTTGAGGATGTCAAATGTTAAGCATAAGTTACCACAAGGACAGTGGGAGCTACCATTTATTGCACATCAGGTTTTTTTAATTAAAATTAATGTTATAAACAAAGGAATATAGGTTATAATACAAAAATTAAGTCATATCAGAAACTACTTAATCTTTTATACGCTTAGAATATAAGGTGTTTTAAAAGCTGTATCAGTTCTTACTTTTAGAGTTTACACTTCATTTCTATGGAATTCGCTACAACACAATTGGCCAGTATATCTACTGAAGGTAATATGGATCATAACGACTGGAAGATCAAGCAAATTGCTGCAGATCTAAACGATGCATTACCGGCTCGAAAAGGTTACTTGTAACAATTGCTAGCCATTCAACTGCTATTGACAACTTCTTCCCAGTCAAATGCTAACAGTTAGAGCATCAAATTTTTCTGAAAGAAGTTATTTGCCAGTTGAACAGTTTGATACAAGTTTTTTTTTATTTCCTCTTTTTCCGGACTGAATTTTTTTTTTTCGACTAACACTCCATGTACATTCAGCCACATGGATTAATGCTTGGCGAGCAGGTATGGGATGGTATGTGGTATGTGAAAAGCAAATCAGAGATTTTGAAACAACCCGATGGTTATCACTTTGGCAGCTTGACGTTTTGGACTGTAAGTGGAGGAAGTAAGTTCCTCGGCCGTTAAATTTTTCACTTAGAAATTTTTTTTGAATTCAAAAAAGAAAAAGTTAATTGAGTTTATATTGCTCACCGGGCGGAACTGATCTCAATGGTTGTTTTTATTAACAAAATTTAACAGAAAGTTTGCTGACTGATTTAAATTCTCGTCATTTTTTGTTAGCTCCAAAAACCATGGGGATCAAAAAATGATATCACTGTGCCCAACTGCGCGAATATTGTAAAGTGTGAATGCAGTTTTTGTTTCTCTCGCTAAACATTCAGATTGTCTAAGACTGGTAACTTATTAGGCTTCCTGCTACAACTGAAATTCCAATGGATGCAAAAAATTTTGCTTTACGGATTGACATGAAGAATACAGCATTCCTCCATTGTGACTGGGAACGAGATGCTGCTATATTTCGGATGCGTTTGGATGAACTTATGGTAATTAGCTTCGCATTGATTTTTATGCTATGTGTTCTTCTTTTATTATTTGAAAGCTATAAAATCGATCTGAAAAAAATAGAAGGGAACATTGAGGTTTGTGCATAATTTTTGTGCGGATTTTTAACGAAGAACTGTCCTGTTTAAAGCCAGCTTCAGCGCTAAAAATAAAGAGCAACCATATACTTAGGCCTGTGTAATTGAGATTTCATTAGCAGACAGACACTTTTAGAGGCAGCAAAAGCTGTATGAGCACTTATACAACGTTAAGGTTTTCAAAACCATTTTTTACAGATGATTGATTCAGAATTTTAAGGAGAATAACACTCAGGGGCAAGTCTAAGCAGCAAGATGAATTTGGTAGGATTTTACACCGTCGACAACTCATTCTTCATCTAAAATTTTTTCCTAAAGTATACTTCGAATTTATCATTCAAAAACGCATGCAGTCATTTCGCTTGTCATTAGCGTTAGCAGCAATTTCCCTTCATTAACTTCATCCAAATTCGAAAATTACAGTTCAACTTTGTGGTCGTTTTGTTAAGATTTAGAAGGATAACTAGATGATCATTTTTGAAGAGTAGCTGTGGATTTCTTGCCAGTATATGACTTCTTATTCAGGCTAAGGCTTGCTTCTACCCACCCAAATTTTGAGTCATTTATTGTTTGTTATTATAATACGAAATTAAGAGAATCAGAAGAATCACTTAGATAAAAAATCAGTTACTTTCATATCGCTTGAGAAGTATGCTGCACTTACGCAATTCGCTCAGTGTTCCCAATGGGGCAGCCAGTTGAGCGATGCGGAATTGGCGTCGCTGCGTACTTTTTCACCTTAGCTATGCTGTATGGAGAGCTAACATCGCTGAACACTCATGATTTTGAACCCTGATGCAGAATCATTCGTTGATTATTTTCGGCTGCCGGTTTACAAATCATTTTAAAATTGACTGTCCACTTCTTTGATTTGTGTCTTTTTTGTGTGTTCCGTCTATGCTTCTGAGTTTGATAAGTCAACTTCTGGTATATCTCTGGCGTTCTTTGTACTTTTCAAGAGTACTGTTTGTCCTTCCTTTTTATTCTTGTTCTGGAACAATCGACGTTTTT